AGGGAGAAATACTTGAAGGGAAAGATTCAGAGCTCTATTTTAGCCACCCTGAGCTTGTCCTGCAAGATAGGAATTCACTGGAGATGTCAGAGATGGGATGGGATTTTAGATTTAAACAGGAAACATGCATGGAGGAAGAGCCAAGAGTTGTCATATACAAATGGTAGATGAATTGGTGTTTGTAGAAGAGAGAAAGTGGAGAGGGGTCAGAATAAGAGCTGCACTTGGTGAATGCTAAGTCAAGAGAACAACCCCTTTGGGAGTATGGGAGACATGACCAAGAGCTTCAGGTTAAAAGAAAAGGTGAGGACAAGGAAACACCTAAGGGTTTGGAGGGGTCATTATTTGGACACTAAAGTCATTCAGATTGAGTATGGAAGACTAAAGCAAAGAGAGCTGCAGAAGCCAAAATGAGCAAAAGTCTGATAGGGAGGGACAGGTGATGGTGGAAATGAGTGCAAGATGGAGAAGTTGTGAGATGGAAGAAAAATCAGGGTAAATATCAGCAGAAGCAAGGAGGAAAATACAGTGTTTGCTAACTGAAGGAAGAGAAACATCAGAGTGAAGAGGACAGAAGGGGCATGTAGACCTGGTAAGAAACGTAACAGGGTGAAAGTAATTTGAAAAGGAATATGGAGCCAAGAAATAATACTGATGCTGTGATGCAGAAGTGGGGTGTGCAGACCTGGGTGAGAGGCAAATGGACAAGATCTCTCTCTCTCTCTCTCTCTCTCTCTCTGTCACACACATACGAACTGGGGAGGTACATGTGGAGCAGCTTTCATGCCAGACAGCCTGAGTGAGTTGGTCTCACCCTTTTAGTCTGGCTAACAACCAGAGTGGTCAAGCCACATGCAGAGAAGCAGCAATATTGCTGCTAGCATCAGAAAGAAAAAATCAGCAACATCATTTATTAGTCTAATAGAGCATATGGTTAGTCTGGGCCTTTTGCCATCAACCCAGGTTGTAACAGCAGTCGGGACAAACTCAATATGTGCATGTGTCAGTAGATGAATAGTTTCATTTAAGAGGGAAAGAAAAAGAGAGAGAGAGAGTCTTCTCTCTGACTGGTCTGCAGCCTTGTCCAGATCAAGAGACTTTTTTTTTTACTATCAGGATCTCACATGTTTTACATGCATACATGTGTGTGGGAGTAAGGAGACTTACAGGATAATTAGGTGCAATAGGAAGGTTAAAGTCAAGGCCTAGATTGTTTTTCCCTGGAGTCACGATTGCATTTGTTTTAAAATAAACACATTCCAAAGGTAAGAAAAAGGTCAGTACATAGAATTGAAAAAATGGCTAGAGAGTGCAGAAAAAGAAAACAATTACTCATAAAACAGAACTGGAAATACTAACAAAGTACAAGCTGGGATCTATCAATATCAGGTATGTATCACGAAAAGGGTGCAATTTGCATACACCTCATACAGCTCCACTGTAGCTCCACTGAAGTGGCCAGGGACAGCATGAGGCATGGGGACAGGTGTTCTCTCCGTATCTGCCTTTTGCTCACCTGCTTCCTGCCCACTCACTTGCAGCAAGGTAGCAGCCAGAGCTTAGGGACTGCACTTCTCAATGGCCCCAGAACTCCAATCCCAACATTCCTAGTGCAATTTTGCTGGGAAGGGTGCGGCTTACTCCCCTTTTCTTACCTGGGACAACCATAGTAGATTAATTAGCAATCTAGCCCCAAATGTGGTATGTGATTTGGTACTGTTATATAATTACAAGGTATTGTCAAATAAAGTTAATGAAACAAATGAAAATATCTTTGGGCTCCCTGGCTGATGCTTCATCCATATAGAGGCCTACTTATTTTTTACACAAAAATAAAAACTGTCTGTCTGGTATGGGAGAATACTGTCTCCAGCTCTTGTGAAATTTTTCTGTGTGAAGTTTTGATCAAACATTTGGTGTGTTTTTTGTTGAGGGATGGGAGTAGAGAAGAGGGTAGCTGCACATTTATATGCCTCACTTTGATTTCCTGAATATATTTCCTGTGATTGCATGAAGAATTGATATTTTGCACCTGTGACATCTCACAAAAAAAATTTTCTGTGTGCGCGTGTTTAGGGACACAAGTTAAATAAAATGCTGTGACTTCAGCCATAAATGAGTTTGTGTTGTAACAATCTACTGCAGACATAACAGTGCTTTTGATATTGATATAATTGGTACATCTCTGTATAGTCATGGAACACTCAGTGGCCTAGTGCCCTATGTAATCAGTTGCAATTTGACTAATGAGAGCTGAATTTGGTCTCCTAGTACATCTCCTAGTAGACCTTACATGGTCTACATGTACAGGTGATTTTGCAAAGTTTGGGACTGTAATGCATTGATGCCCACATGTAACTGGATATTTCTGTTTCACTGTGTCTTCATTAAATGCATATGTTCATAGGAATTTTATCTTCATTTAACATTATTAATATCCACTTTGATGTAAAGTGTTGTTTAATTCCTCAAGCAATACACAGTACTACCACTTTTGTAAAATTAATCATGGTTTCTTATTAATGTTTGGGAAGCTTCTCCATACCAAAGAGATTTCAAGGGCAGACAAAGGGATTTCATGCCAAAAAAATGATTCACTTTTAAAATGTGTTTTGTCTACCAAGCACTAAAACTAAAAGCCAAATACCTCTTATGATAACCATTCTTTGAGTCACGTGCTGGGCAAATGTGAGTTATTTCCAAATTATGCAAATAACCTTTATCATTTGTAACTCCGCTTTAGAAGTAATTTAGAGAGAGTAGACTCAAAATGACAAGACTTTTTGGAGTAACTGAAATTATTACCATGTAAATGCTCTCTATTTGATAACTAAAAATAACATGGTTGAAATAAAATTATATTTGAGAATAACGTTTACCCTTTGTTTCAAT